TTGATCTTCCTGGAGCTGATTGTTGGCTAAGTCCTTGCCATTTTGGCTATTCTTCTATCCATTCGAATGGTAGTTTTTCGCTTTGTTCCACGTCTTTCACGTTTTAGTTGCCATATTAAAGCATTTGCGATCATTTTAGCTGAGCAGCCTATCATTTTCTGCACTTCTTTATCTGTTTTCCCCTCTCCAATCAACTTTTTAATCAAGGTACGCTGTTCTTTTGAACAATGTCTGGAACGACCCATTTTCCTCAGAATTTCAGAGAGAAATGCACTGTAACCAGCATGTACAACATTTGCTGCCTTCCTTCTTAAAATAAGGGCAATAATTGCCACCTGCTGTTCAAAGAATGAATGACCTCACTAATAGAACTCCACACTGCTATTATTTTGAACATGCCCCTTTCAATTAGTGATTCAATTACACAGAATCAGCAGCATGCATGTCATGACTGTTGGGTCTGTTGGATTTCGATTACTCAACTACACCTGCTAGTAAATTATTTGCCAAGTAGAAATATCATTTCTACCAAAAACAGTGATTGATCAGGTTAGTGATGTCTGACTGCTATTATTTTGAACACAACTGTAAGTCCAGGACTAGCTGCAGCAAGGAGAGGATTTGTCCGATTGAAAAACTGCTAGGGTGGAAGCCCTGACACTCACAATTAGTGAAAAATGTCTTCCACATACAATAGACCTTGTGGGAAGTAGACTTCCGAGATGCCCCTGTCCCTCAGACCATGGGCTTCAACAGCCATGCTATTAAAGTCAGGGCTGTGAAGCAGGATGGCAAATCGGTCTTTGGGATAGAAGATCTTGACAATCTGTCAGTACTTTTACCACATCCATCTGGAACAATACTGGAGCAATGGGGATCAGCTGAACGCCCTCAACCTTGACAAGGAAGAAGTTAGAAGGGCATAGATCAGGAGGCACTGATCCAACAAGTTCACCAGAACAGATACCCTTAACACCTCTAAGTGTAGGGACCATTACCCCAGGTCCAGATGATGCCAGTTAAGAAAACTTGCTTGTCACTCATCTACCCCTGGAGTGTACATAGCTAGTAAGGTTGGAATGTGACTTTCTACCAAGGACAGGATCTGATCTACCTCTCACTGCAGATAAAATTCTAGTTCTTCCCTGATGGTTGATGTACAGCACTGCCATGGCATTGCCAGGCTGCATCCAGATTGGATGACCTTCTGGAAAGATGGTTCCACTCTGCAGTGTCAGTCAAATCACCTGAAGTTCCAGGACGTTGATCAGGAGAAGAGAACCCAATGATGACTGATGACCAAGTTCCCCGCATGGACAAAGTGCTTAGAACCTCGCCCCAGTTTGACAATTGGTATCCTTTATAAGGAACCTCCAAAAGACTGGAAAAAAGAGCTTTCCCAAGTGCAGAGCCATATTCTTCAACCACCCAGCGAAGGACAACCTTGTCCTAGCTGTCACATGAATTGATCTGTCCTGGGACAAAATGCTGTGTTGCCATTGGCTACCACAGCAATCAATCACAGCCAGTGAGAAAGGAGCAGGGGGGGGGGGGCGGGACTGAGCCGCATTCTGTGTCCTATAGACATACAGAGCTGGCTCAGGAGCGAGCAGCTTGCTATGTGGGCACTCAGCTGGGGGGGGGGGGGGCGGAAGCCAGGAGCGCCAGCAGGGCACATGAGAAGAAGAGGATCAGGACTGCTATGTGCAAAAACCATTGCACAGAGCAGGTGAGTTTACCATGTTTGTTATTTTTAAAAATTAGAAAATGTACCTTTACAATCAATTTAAGCGGGATGCACAGGCTAGTTGAAAAAAACAAAAACAAAAAAAAAAAACAGCTTCCCTCTGTCTTAGGTTGACTGAAGTTCAGTGGATAGGACAACTTCCACTAGAAGAGAGGGACTCTGAAAAGTCCTCTAGAGCATGGTTTCTGAAACTTTTTATCTTGGAGGAACTCTTAGCAAAACATTTAAGACCTCGGGGAACCGTTGAAATAATTTTTAGATCTACAGCTCAAGGAACATTGGTGTGATCAGCAAACTGCTGATGTAACAATTACTCTTATAAATAGTATTCAACAGAATGTTAAAACTTACTTCCCTAATGTGAAATGTGTGCTTGCTTTTTCTGCACAGATTCTGGGTAAAACTTAAACTAAGCAGTGTACAGAGTCAGCAGGGCACAGGATGACAGAATAGTAGGTTCAAGAGAACACACTAGGGGGGAGGGGAGTGAGCAAGGAGGGCACAATAAATATGGGGTGGCCAAGAGAGCACAGTAGAGGGTGGGAGGGTACAATACTGGGGTCTGTAATATGTAGTGCAGCAGTTGTTTCTCCATGCGGAATGGTGCAGTATTATATCTGGTGCGCTGAACTCTGCCCTGCCCGCCCTTCTCTATATACTTAACCTGTGAGTGGTCATACAATTATAGCTGATTGGTTTGAGTGTATATACACATTTATACAGCATATATACTGTATACACATACCTCCATCAGAACTTCTTCTTTATAAAATGATACTTGGCTCTTATACGGTTTTGATGTAATCTACACTTCCCTATTTAAAGTATATGTTACAACATGATAAACAGAAAACATTATCTTTTTTTTTTTCATTCTAATACCTAAAATTTTAATTCCAGACATAGGACTCTTTATTCTCATGGTTAAAAGACATGCTTTCAACTGGCAATCAAGGTTGATCACAATGAACAGTTTAACATTTCACAGTTCTCATGTTGACCGTTTATTGCAATAGTTGATTTATTTTTCTTTAAAAATGCCAATGAACCTAAAATGCAACTTGGCTTAAAAATTACAATTATGGATGCCATTTCCAGACAGTCATTCCAGCAAGTTAATAGAGCTAAAGAAGATATACAGCACATGAGATAAAACTGCTGACACACCACTGATGTCCTCATATCCTGTTGAGCAAACACTTAGGGACATAGCTAAAAAAAAAAAAAAAAGTGCAGGCAATTCTGGTAGCCTAGACTTGCCCAGGACATTCAGGAAAGGTATAAAGAGGCTGCAATGCAAACAATCATTTAAATCCTGATTTTCAGGGTGGTAGATATGCAGTGAATATTTGTGATGGTGAGCGTGCAGGGGAAAGCAGCCGGTTTAGGCATGAATGGGCATATCTTTGATAGATACTGTGTATCATATCCAGGCCAAAAATGACAGAACACAGCTCAGGCTCCATGAACGGCACTAAGATATCTATTGCTCACTGAGAAATAAGAATTTCAGATGTGTAGCAAACAGCACCAAATTAGGCTTCATCTGATGAACACTGAGCTGGGGGTTTGTATTATAAATGTGGCAAGTGATCAGTTATCATTTGCTGCTTAATAAACAGGAGTCATAGGAAGATAGTGGAGTAAGACACACTCTGCCCTAAAATAGCTATTGTAAAACAATAGGTTATCCTTACCCTCACAGAACATTAAAGAAAATATCATGTGTAGGTTTTTATACATCAACAAAACAACAAATAGATTTTAAAACCATGAACAGGATAAATAAAACCCGAATATACTCCCTTGAGTCTGAAGCCCCAATGCACAAGTGAATATATTTGCAATTATGTGTGAAATAGGCATGTAGGTTTCATTTCACAATTGATGGCCCTTATAAAAAGATAATGAATAAATAAAAATATAAAAAAAACATCATGACTATGATTTGGGATTTTATCGAACAGTGTGTTAAAATAATGCGTGAGCTAGGAATATGAAATATATAAGAAGCATGGCGGAAAAAGCAAGCCAACACAGAAAAAGAAAACTGCATGAAAAGAAACTCAGAATGAACAGGCTGCATATAATGTGATAGCATAGCAACTCTGCCCTCTGTTACTCATGTCTTTCCAGAGACTGCATTGTTTTTCACAGCCTACCCTTGTGGCTATGTTACAATATATCATTGTGACTGAAAGGTTAGATTTTTCCTTGTTTTATCACAAAAGCCAAAACTTTAGAAATGGTAATAGAATGGTTATAACTATAACAAAGTAAGAGAGAATAAAAAACTGCCTCCTAAACAGTCGTCTCTGGAACAGATTTTTTTGTCCTTGTGGCATTGGTCACCAAAGAGGGTAAATCTTCTCAGATGAGTACAGACAGCAATAAAAATGCTTTGGAACAGTTATCCACTCGATCTCGAACAAAAAAAAAAGTGTATTACCCTAAATAAGACTGAAGCCAAGGCTTGGACACTTGCCCTGGATACTTGATTCCTTTCAGCGATTTCTTAGGCAGGGATAAGCATAATAGCCCAGAAGCCTACAAAGCCAACAATCACATATTTGTTACAGTATATTTCTATCCAGGTTCCCTTTGAAAGAAAACCTGTGCTGAGAAAGATTAATTGCTGACCTCCCAAAAATGCCAGCTGCTTGGCTTTCTTGCTGATTCAATGGCTTCAATAGTCTCCAAGTTGCACTCTGGAGTCTGGCTAGTTTCTCTGGCCATGGCTTTAATTCGTTTTGAAGGCAGGCTTAGACTGTAGGTGTTTAACTTGGTGTACCAATGTATACAAGTGATTGGTAGGTACACACGCTCTATGATGTCGGACAAGAGGGTGGCCCAGGGAATCCATCACGTTAATGGTAGTAGCTCAGAGGTTCTTCATTGTATTACTTTTGTAAGTCAGGTGGTGGTTTAGGTTTAGTAACCATTTAACGAACATTTTATGGCACATTTTTTCATCAGCACACAATATCCCAGTCACATAAAAATGTGTTCACATTTTGTTGAAAAGGTAGCACGGTTGATTTGGTTAAAAAAGTTTTCCTGTCTGAAATTCTGTAAATACAGAAACACACACACAACACTTATATATGCATTACACGCATGGATCTGTTGCACATACAGTAAAAAGCTGTCCTTGAATTAGTTTCTGCTTTCCTACAAAAGTCTTTTTTTTTTTTTTTCAGCATTCTGGCTCAGTAGGAACATTAAGGTTCTTCTCATTCCCCAGGTGTTAAGTTTACACAGGCCGAAGAACAAAGACAGCATCATCCAGAACATAATAGTCATTGTACATGTCTCCTTCGCATAAATATGGAAGTCGGGTAAAGGTTTCCACTGCAAAGCCAGCTTCCTCAAAGACATCAGCCAGGCTGTTCACTTGTTCTTCCCACACAGTTCCATTAACCTGCATGATCTCTGATGGCTTCTCCCACTTCCCACCTGGCAGGAAACATGAACATAAAAAGAATATTTTTAAGTATCTGCAATGTATGCGGAGAACTGTGTGCATGCTGAATTTACAAATCACAGTAGGCATGGCTTGTGTCTGTATACTGATTCCCCATCCTAACTAATACTTACATTGAAGTTAGTCATACCTAGAAATATTGAGACTCACCAACTCCAGTAAAACCATAGGAAGACTGATCTTTGGACGATTTGGTCATACACAAGTACAGCAAAATCTGTATGACCTATTCTTTCAGCACCCATGCTGAACTTCATTATTGTTCATATAATAAGTAGATATTACATGCAAAACAAGTGGTAGGGCTATTTCATAAGCCAGGAGGGCAACATATGAGGTGAACATTGGTAAATTGGATTTCGAATACAACATTTTTAGCAGTTAGAAATGTGTATGGGCATTTGGTGGCCAAGAACGTCATATACATGTATATCAGTAAACAATGCAGATATAACTGTCATATTTTGAGCTTTTGTCAGTGCCATATGCAGTTTTTTTTTCAGATGAATTTAGGCAGCATTTGCGGTTAGTTCAAGGGCACATTCACACCATACGTGTATATAAAACAATGGTGAAACTGCAGATTTCACCTGTAGAAACAGGAGTTTACATCAGTGTTCACACACGTCTTTTTTAAGTACAGACTGACATCCTGGGGTTTATTTACTAAAGCTGGAGAGTCCAAAATCAGACTCCCTTCTGCATAGAAACCAATCAGCTTCCAGGTTTCATTGCCAAAGCTTCATTGAACAAGCTGAGGTTAGAAGCTGATTGGTTTCTATGCAGAAGGAAGTCTGATTTTGGACTCTCCAGCTTTAGTAAATAAACCCCCCTGTGTTATCAACCCCTCATTAGTTATCCCCAGATCAGAGACTCCACATTGCCGGGGACACTGCAGGAGGGACATCGTGGGAGCGCAGGACAAGGTAAGTGAAGAACAGATCCCGGAGCAGTGCCACATGGTAAGCCCGAGTGTAGCTCGGGGTTACCGCTTTTGGTACTGAAACTTTACCCCGAGCTACACTCAGGAATACCGCCAGGGGGGTTAAGCTACATTGACACTAGCCTCCTGCATTTGATTTATTTAACCACTTGACCTCTGGAACATTTCACCCCCTTCATGACCAGGACATTTTTTGCTATTCATCACTGTGCTAATTTAACTGGCAATTGCTCGGTCATGCAACACTGTACCCAAATGGTATTAATTTTTTTTCAAACAGAGCTTTCTTTTTGTGGTATTTGATCACTACTGGGTTTTTTTTTTAATGTATTTTATACACAAAAAAAAGAAAATGTTGAAAAATTTAGGCCAAAATGGATTCAGCTATATCTTTGGTAAACAAAAACAAAAAGGGTATATTAAGTGGTTTGTGTGAAAGTTGCAGTGTCTACAAACTATGGTATATATACTGGAACTTACGCATCTATAGACACGATAATAGTGATCAATGACTTACAGTGCTGCGCTGCTAATGTCAAATATATACACCAAAACATCAATAAATTAAATGTACATATAGCATACATGAATCTGAAAACAACGGTGAATAAACTTTACATCAATTTTCTTCACAACTTCATACAATTCCTCATGTGATCATATAACAAACACTCCAGGAGAGTGGAAGAACCTCTATTTATTTATCATAAAGCGCATTTCAATTGCCTTAATGTGAGAGTTCTGTGAGCACCGAGGTGACACAACCTGCATACTTTTCAGCACTGCAAGAGATGGTGTTGGTTATATCAGCACGTGAGGCATCATATGAAGTTGTGAAGAAAATTAATATAAAGTTTATTCATTATTGTTTTCATATTTCACATGGACTTGTCTTTATGGCCATTATATTGTCACGATTCATGCATGCTGTATGTATATTTAATTTGATGATTTGGTGTATATATATTTCACATTAGCAGCACAGTATTGAGTTTTTTAATTTCATTTATGTTTTTGTTGTGGGAACACAAATTTTTTATGCTAGCAGGAGCTCCATACATTATTTATCACATTGAGGTAGCACAGGAGTTTATTCTTTATTTTGCAATGACTTACAATGTGACTGTGATAGTGTGGCAGACAATCTGGTACTAACATACACTGGCTGGAAAGGACACTAACGTCACTAGTGACACAAATACAGTGATCAGTGATAATACTGTACATTGCACTAATGACACTGGCTGGGAAGGGGTTAACATCAAGAGGAAAATCAAGGGTTTAACTGTGTGCCTGACAAGTGTAATGTGTACCACTTTTACTCACAAATCTGGCTGCTTTTTCTCCCTAAACTCAGAGTGGAATTCAGAAAGAAAAAAAAAAAAAAAACAGTGAGACTGCGGTCTGTGTAGAGTTTTGTGTGCTGTGATTGGCCACAGACGATCAGCAAGTATAGAGCCAGAATCATTGGCTGAAACCTGTGGACTAATTACTGCTGTGTCCAATCACGACACAGTTCAGGGTGGGGAGGTTGGTCATAAAAACCCGGACATAGGCAGCGATGTATAGGTAACTTGCCCAGCCCGCAGCTGCTGCCCCGCCCACAATAATTGTACTGTATTTGGGCAGCAAACGGCTAAACACAGGATAAATTATCTGGGAAATATAAACAAACGTTATACTTCCCAGATCAAGTTCTCCTGCGCCTAAATGTACTTGCATTTCCATGCATTTAGACATGTTCAGGAGTATACCATCTGCCCCGATGCATATTCACAGCCTGAAATATACCATTTAAAAACGATTACATGCATTTATACAGTATGTGTTTAGAAATGTTCTATATGAATATAAACACATTTAGTATCTCATTTTGAGTGTGAATGAGGCCTTACCGTTTTTCTGTAAGAAAACAGATGAGAAAGTTGTATATGGAAAGATCTTATCTTAAATGGACCCTAACAGGTCCTAAATACCAATCTAGACCAATTGTTATTCTAGTAGCCAATCTGGATTTACAATAGGTGCGTGTCTTGAAAACATGATTGTACAGTGCTATAAGTAGATTGGTAACGGTTATATACTATGTTTATACAGTCATCCTATTTATTAACATCAGGGTGCTCAATTCTGTATTTCAAAATAATAGAGAAGTTAAACATAAAAAAAAAAAAAAGAACAATTTTTGTTCTAATCGCAGCCAGGAAGTGTCTCAACATGGGTCTAGCATGCTGGCTTCTCCTCAGATTCGCTTCCTCCTTCAATCCAGCAGAATCAAGTCAGATGAGAAATGGACAGGCCAGGACTAGGTACGCTCCTTTTTCTAAAGATCATCCTTCTTTACTACTACCAATGGGGTGAGTACAGTACATCCCATACATTTTCTGCTTATTTATTAGAATACTAAAAATGCAATAACCAATAGCAAAAAGTACACTAACCCATGTACCAATGGCATTTTATCTTCACCTCACCTGACCACTGAAAGCACCTTTCTTTGGGGTAGTTTTGTGTTTTAAACCATCTTTTACACATCACCAGAAAAATGGCAAAACACTTACAATGGCATGCAATAGCCAACATTTTTTTTTCATCTTTATCAACTTTGTAATGCAGGAACTAGTTGCTGCTTGTTAAGATTATCTTTTGAGATATGAATAATGTATTCCAAGACTGCAGATACCCTACGCAACATCAGTTTGTGCATCTTTTTCCCCTATGACCTAAATTATGGGACTTGGCAGGACTCATCTAACAGCATGGACAAGCAATTTTATATTAATCCCTTTTACACCATTAAAAAAAAGAATGTGCAATGGCAGAACACATCAAGCATTTTTTTAAAGCGTTCAAGACAAACAAAATTTATTGAGATAAATTTAGTCTAATCTCTGAGAATGTCCGACCAAAAAGTGAGTTGTTTGAACCAAGAGTCCACATAGTAAAGGTTTGGAGTCCTGATCACTTTTGATGCGGCTCATAAGCGTTTTGGTAAGAGTTCTGTACCTGTCTGAGCAGTTGCTGCATTATAAAATCTCTGGAAAACAAGAACTCAAGCAAACGTTACCAAGTTGATACTATATGTGGGTTGGCCCACAGCCAGCTGTAATGTTTGAATGTTGCCTATAAGCTGAGAAAAAATTAGGTTGTTTCAGATCATTTTTTTTTTTTTTTGTACAATTTTCTGATTCTGTGTACTAGGCTTAACACTTCCCTAAAAGATAGGGCATCTTTTTGCAGAGCCTTTTGGAAGTTCATCCCTAGGGAGGGCAGATTATAAGGTAAAGTAAAGGACTTTAGAATGTTAAAACCCTCACACATTGTTTCACGAAAGAAGCCTACAAAGCATTTATGTTGCAGAGGTTTGATAAAGTGGTAAAAAGTGTTCAGCTGACAAAATGTGTTCAAGAAATTTTTTTTATATGGCCCTTCCATTGCTTATTGGCATACTATGTGTGCACATAAGAAATCTGTACAGCAGGTCTCAGAGAAGGAGCCTAAAATGAACCAGTGCAAACTAATCTTGGGAGTTTATGACACTCTCTCCATAAACTTGATTTAATGGTCCTTAAATGATATGAACACAACCGTGACTCATCATGTGCCATTAAATCTAGACTGTGGTCTGGTGATATAGAGTGAATGTGCACAGCAAAATGTTTTAAAAAGATATTATCAACACGTCTCAAAATGCAAAAGACGAAGCACCACAGAGCGAATAAATAAAACTACTTGTATTTTACCCAGTTATTTTTCTACTGCAGTCATTAAAATAAGTAAAAGGAACATCTGATTGATTGCACACTTTTTAAACAAAAGAATTCATCATATTTGAGCATCATTTAATTCCCCTGTATAGTGTTTGTGAATCTATAATGTTAATGAGCTAGGAATAGAGCTTTCCTCTCTTGCATAACTTTAAAGTAGCAACTACTGAATTACAGTCACCAATTTATAAGAATCCAATGCTCCAAAAATAAATGCTGTTCACCGTAAAAGCCCCCTTCAGTTTATTAAAGTGTCACTAGAGGC